CCTTCCCCCCCCCACTACACTCTCCAGCAGCTGCTGTTACTCTATAACAATATGGCAGCCAACGTCCCTCCCTCCGCTGAGACCCTTCTCAGTGGTGCCGCCGCCCACCCTCCCAAGACCGCTGAAGAAATCGCCAACCAATATGACCTCCTGCCCAAGTTGATCCCCTACCTCGATCGCCACTTGGTCTTCCCTCTTCTCGAATTCAGCTCCGGCGGCCAGGATGACGACCGGGAAACCATCCGTGCCAAGTATGAATTGCTTAAGCACACCAACATGACCGACTACGTCGCCAATCTCTGGAAGGAAATCAACAACTCCGACTCCATCCCCGAAGAGTTCATCAAGAAGCGTGAGGAGGTTCTCGCCAAGTTGCAACACTACCAGGACCAGAGCGCCAAGATCACCGAGCTCCTGCAGGATGAGAGTGTCGTGGGCAACCTGCGCAGCGACAAGGTCGCCAACTTGAAGTTCCTCGAGGAGCAGCACGGTGTCACGATCGAGATGGTCAACAGCCTCTACGACTATGGTCGTTTCCAGTACAGCTGCGGTAGCTACGGCAATGCTGCTGAGCTCCTCTACCAGTTCCGTGTCCTGTCCACCGACAACGACAAGGTTGCCTCCGCCACCTGGGGTAAGCTCGCCTCGGAGATTCTGACCACCAGCTGGGAGGGTGCGATGGAGGAGGTTCTGAAGGTCAAGGATTCCATTGAGACCCGTCTCTTCAACAACCCCCTGGGACAACTGCAGAACCGCTCTTGGTTGATCACCTGGTCCCTGTTCCCCTTCTTCAACTACGACCCCGCTCGCGATGTCTTGACCGACCTCTTTTTCTCCCCCGCCTACATCAACACCATCCAGACCAGCTGCCCCTGGATCCTGCGGTACCTCGCTGCCGCCGTCATCACCAACCGCAATCGCGCCCACAAGAGCACCAGCGTCTACCAGAAGCAATTGAAGGATCTGATCCGGGTCGTTCGCCAGGAGGGCTACGAATACTCCGACCCCATCACCGACTTCGTCAAGGCGCTTTATGTTGATTTCGACTTCGAGGAGGCCCAGAAGAAGCTGGGTGAGGCCGAGGATGTGTTGCGGAGCGACTTCTTCCTCGTCTCTGCTGCCGATGCTTTCGTCGAGGCCGCTCGTCACCTCATCTCCGAGAGCTACTGCAAGATCCACCAGCGCATTGATATCAAGTACGTGCTACGAGAGAGCGGATATAAGAAATGATGTGACTAACCCGGACTGTAGGGACTTGTCCACCCGTTTGGGTCTGAACCAGGACGATGGTGAGAAGTGGATCGTCAACCTGATCCGCGACACCAGAGTCGATGCCAAGATCGACTACAAGGAGGGCACTGTTATCATGAACCACCCCCCTCAGTCGGTTTACCAGCAGGTTATTGAGAAGACCAAGGGTGCCTTCTTCCGGACACAAGTTCTGAGGTAAGTTCGATCCGAGGGAACCCTTTAAAGTATATAGTCTAATGGATCCTACAGCGCGGCCGTTGCGAAATAAATGACAACCCTTCTTTGAAGTTTTCTCTGAAACAAGAATTTCGTCCTTTTACCCTTCTCTTAATGGTTCTTCCATGTTAGTAGTATTTCCCGCCGAAGTGCGGCGGGCTTCCTGAAATGATGGGACCAAGCAGAGTGGCATCAGGCTGGCGTTCAGGTGGTCCACTTTTCATGTCTTTCTTCTTTTTTACCTCTTTTTGCTTATGTCTCTCTTCCCCATGAACCTGTCTATTTCCCCCCTATGTATCTCTTTGTCGACATGCTTTCAGGTGAGCCTTTTTTTTGGTGTGACGATCCACGCCCGACCTGGAAGAAAAGCAAAAAAAAACTAAAAGAAGTACTGTCGAAGTTTCCACCGGGACAACTTTTTATCTTCTGTAAAGGATTAGCAATTTGGGGATCAAAGAAGCGACAAATGGGGCGGAGCAGCTGAGTGGTACACTGTACCAATCGCTCCTCAGCTTCTGTCTCGCTTATGATTGAATCTCCTGATGCCGAGGGAACATTGAACCCACTATTGCCTCATGCCGTGTGATTGGTTGGTCTATGCAGTTACGAATGATCTATAGAGATGATGGAATTGAATGTTGAATCTAGATCTATCTTTTTTGGTTGTTCACTTCTTATTCTAATACAGTCAGAGCTCTACCCACAAATCAACATACACACTTAAACTTCGGGATATCTACTACCTCACCCGCCTCCGACTTGACCCCAGCCCCCTTATGCGCCATCGCCCACCCGTCTCACCATGACCATTGGTATAACCGGCACCCCTCATCCACACAATCTCATTAATGTACGGCTCGTCCCCTCCTCTACCCCCCGAATATCGAGCTGTCGGACTTGCCCCGCTACTGCTGCAGCTGCTATAGCTACAGCCATAGCTCCCACCGGCGCTCTCACCAGCCATACGAAGCGACTCCTGCCGTTCGTATTCCCTGGACATAGCCGCGAGATCGTCGATCTGGTCCTATATTTTTTTCGACGGGAGTAGTGTTAGGACGGTATTCCTCGAAAGTCTTAGTGCAGGATGGCTACTGTTTCCAGTCAGGAAAAGACGTACCCGCGTCAATGGTACGCCAGTGATGAGGTAGCCGTCTCGGCCCTGTGGCGAGGGAGTCTGTGGTTAGTAACTGTCGTTGATCATTGGGGGGGATATTCGGTGGGGATGGGGAGGGATATACATGCTATATGTATGTATGTAGCATATATCATTGGGAGAAGGCGAAGTATTGCTGAGTGGCACACCTGATAGGAGTACGGCCGCGCACTTGCCGCTGGGCCCAGGAAGTACTGGATCTGGCTGAGGACGATGGAGCGCGAGAGCCCGTAGCCGGGGAGCCAGTAATGCTGGGTCTCTGGGGGTGGCATTGTCGGTCTTTTGTGTCTCTGTGGGATGTTGTATACTGGATGTGATGTTGGTGGGAGGTATATACGGGGTTTTGGTATGTATAGTTCGTGAAGGACGAATCAAGTTCAGAAAGTATTGTATGTTCTCAACTCAACAACGAGGAAAGCACACGCTTCCATTGTGTATTTATAGCCAGGGCCCAAATCCTCGACTATGCAAGGGAAATATCGCTCGTTGCTTAGCTGGTTTGTCGCTAGCCCTGTCATGCGTCTCTGGGCCTGTCTATGTGAATGCTTCGCTTTGCTGCATCCCTATGTATGTACTTTAGCTGTGGAGCTGTGGTTTCTACTACTGATAGGGTTCATGATTCAGCTGATGTAGCAATCGTTTCCCGAGTGTGAGAACAGCCATGAATGCATAAATCTATTCTCAAGACCAGATATATACATATGGAGTATATCAACGAAGAGAGGGAGAGAGGAAAAAGACAGCCCTACTATCACTGCTAGAATGCAGTCCCGTAGCGAACAGAAAAAGCAAGCCCGCCTCACTCCTTCCCATCCAACCACCACCATCCTCTTCTACACCGTTTCTTCTGAACAGCCCCAAAAAGTGAGGCTGTGTCCGTCAAAGAAAACAAATGAACCAGGCGAACTCGACCCCCCGCAAATCATAAGCTTAGGCGTGGTGGGAATTGTTTCAGTTTAGCCAAGTCGGATATTGCTTGTTTGACTTTCATGTTGCTGCAGCGCCAGAAACTATGCATGCAGTTCTGATGTGGTGGCTACAGGACAGTTATGCATGTACAGTGCTGAGAATATGTGCTTTGGGATCTGGTGCCGTGGCTCCAGGAACTTGAAGTTCGCTTCAGGTGGATTGTGGCATGGTGTAGGATTTGGTTAGTAAGGGGATTTCTGATGGATTGGGCCAGGCGCTTTTGATCCCCGTGGGTGTACTGTAGAGGTCTAGATAGTGATAGCATCTTCTGATGATGGCGTTCAGTGGACACAGATGAGGGGCAGTTGCTTTTCCTTTTACACTGGCGTCACCTGATATTGTTTTCAAACTATCTTACTCGGGGTTTCTTGTAAGAAGTCGCTGTATGAACTAGGTATCTTAATCTCTTACACTTGTCAAGATGTCCTCCTCGTCATGATGCTGGTCGAAGCAGCACGGCAACGCCTAGGATCTGGATTACTCCATCTCGTTCATGCGGTGGGTCAAGCACGCGGTTTCTGGCAATCGAACGGCTGACCGCTTCATGGCTGTTTCAGATCCCAGCCATCCAGTGATCGAGCCAGCCATGAGGGGTTCCATTGCTCTTGAATGCAGGAATCTTGCAAGACGAATCAAGCTCAGTTTTAGGCAGACTGTCAGCAAAAGAAGCCCACATGAGAGCAACATGACCAAGGGCCATAGGCAGATTGACACTTAAGACTCTTCAGACGTCAGGCTGCTCATCGAGACTGCTAAGATTTCGTGGTCGAAGCGAAGGAAGTGAACATTATCGAAGAGTATAGATGGAGCTGCAGGTAGAAGGTAAAGTCATAGTACAGAGATCCAAATCAACATGCCGATGCGGAAGACAAACCTCTTGAGCTAGTACAATTCCCCAGCTCAAGAAGGGAAAATCAATATTCAGAATCACCAAAACGCTTCTTGCATTACTGTCTATGATCTTTTCGTGACTCATCCAGACAAAAGGCATACTTGCAGCAAAATATCATGCAAAGAATCGTTCCGCATCCATTAGTTGCCCTCCGGGGGAACATATGGGTTCACAAGCATGTCGCTAAACCTGTTTCATGAATTAGCATCGACGTTCAATGTATCTGGGCTACTCGGACACTGCTGGCTCATCACATACTTCTCAAGCTTCTCCTTTCCTCTGACTTCCTCAACCAACAAAGGCATCCGGACAACGTTGAAGTCCTCGTAGAGTTCCTCGATCTGCTCAAGATACTTCTTCTGCATCTTTCTGCGTGCGTTACACTGTTCGCACGCGCTGCTCTGCTTAGGGAATAACAGTTGGTTGACGACGATAGCATGGGTGTCGATGTTGTAGCTGGTCAACTCCTGGATCATGCGCTCGGTTTCGTACAGAGACAGGAACTCAGCGATGCAGACACAGACGAAGGTGGTAAGGTCGGCATCCTTGAACTGGGAGTTCACCTCGCTAATCGTCTCCCGGAGAGACTCCATCTTCTGCAACAGCTCGTCGATATTCTGACCGCCGGGCAAAGCTCCACGGGAGCCCAGAATGGAGTTGAGCATAGGGCCAAACTGAGAGGACAGCTGCGACAGTTTCGCGAGAGCCTTCTCGAGGACGGTGGGGAATTGGAGGAAGCGGAGAGTGTGGCCGGTGGGCGCAGTGTCGAAAACGATAACCTCGTAGGACAGGGACTTGACTTGCTTCAAGACCTCAGCGAAGGACATGGCTTCGTCAACACCGGGGATCTAGTGAACCAATCGTTAGCCAATGTAAGCTCCGTGATGCATGCGCGCAAAGGCCATGGGGTGTGGAGCGTACGCTGAAAGCCAGATCCTGCATCATGCCGCCCACACCCATCCCGGACAAAGGATCATCTCCCTGGCCTTCACCACTAGCCAAAAGGTCCTGGATACTGCCATTGGGGTCGATCTCCATGGCGCTCAAATTGGTATAGCCATCGACCAGTCGAGCCTCCTTTCCAAACTTCTGTCCAAAGGCATCGCTCAGGTTGTGTGCGGGGTCGGTGGAAATAAGCAGAACGGACTTGCGGACTTTGGCCAGCTGAATCGCAAGCGAGCAGGAGGTCGTAGTCTTGCCGACACCTCCCTTACCACCGACGAAGATCCAGCGCAAGGTTTTCTGGTTGACGACCGACTGGAGCGTGGGCTCCATGAGGTCGTCGCTATGCACGACAGTGGAGGACATGGTAGGGGGTCGAAAAGGGAAAAGATCAAGGCTATGGTTTGGTTGTGTATCTGGTCTGGAGAACAGAGGTAGAAAAGGAGTAAGCTTTAGTTAGCGCTTGACAGACTTGCAGTGTTGATTTGGAGCTTGGACTTTACCACGTAACTTACGGGTTCCCCGCAGAGTCCTGAAACCTTCGTATAAGGCGGTCGGTGGGATTTCGAGAAGTTTCGTAAGAAGAGCTGCGTCACCCCACGCTAGTAGTTGAGGGAGGTAAACTGACAGGCCACTTGGAAGGTACTTCTATACAGCAACAATGGTTCGCGAGAGTCGTACAGCGCCAGAGACAGCAGGCGGTTCTTGTCTCAGCTCTTTTCAGCAGTTGCTCAAGCGGCACGTGCCACGTGCTACGTGCTAGAGCCATCACGGGTCATTTTACCTTACCTTCTGCCTCAGGCGCCGCAACAACCCCGCGCACTCAGCAAGTTATATAGTCTGTATAGAGTTATCGCTCCCTATCGCTTCGAATCACCCCCCGCGCGACATGCAGCCCATCCCCTCTGAATGTGTCGGAGATCAAGTCCCTCTGCAACGGCTAGGAGCCGGTTGCCCAGTGGTCTTGGGAAACTCTCTTTTGAGTACACTCCGACCTGAACGGTCTTGCGATCAAGTCCATGCAGTGGCCCCATATTGCCTGGAATCCCTTCAACACTCATCGGTGATGCGGTTGTCATGATGATACGTTCTGTCAGCATCGGGATCAGCCAAGCAGGAGTTTGCATCGCTTATACAAGAGGATGTCCACTCCTTGTCTTCTTTGGGACCCTCTTTAGTGGCACTTGATCATTCACACTCATGCTATCAAGCCGTGGGAATATTATACATGGCATTAAAGCTGAGGTTCAACCTGCATAGATGTCTGGTGGGCCTACAGTTGGAGAAGAATGTGAGTCCAAGTGTAGTTAGTGCATTGTGCATTAAATAGAGTAGCGCTGGCAGGCACGGAGCACCTCATCACCACAACATCGTCCGCGCAAAATGAGGCTCTACATGCCGTGAATCACATATTATATTGCTCATCCTACTCATGTTTCAGCATAAAGCAGAGAGGCCATGAACCTTAAGAAAGACTGCCAGCTAGCTCTACCTCGCAATACCTGTATCTGTACCTGTACAGTACTTAGTACAGTACTTCCAACTCAGCCGGTCTGGAAGTAGTAGTGTAGCTTGGACGTCGGTTGATAATATCCGACTGCATCATAATCTACCTCCCTCCAAGATCAAATGGTAAAAGACTGCTTTCGCCTCAGCCGATAGCTTCAATGGGAATCGCGAATTAGAGGTAAGTTACAATTGTTGAATGATGGACTAGTTAGCCGTGATACCTTCCTATAGGCGGATTGCAAGATCCGGTGCTAGAGTCATTTCTAATACTCCGTGCCTCCACCAGAGAATCCAATACAACCACTGGCTGCATCTTTGAACATCGTCTGACTTGGATCCACGTGTTTGCCCCCCAAAATAGTCTATGGAAAACAATCCGTGTCAATTGGTGTTGTTCCCACTTTGACACGGAATGCCTTATGACTTATAGCCGAGTCTACCATACAATGTGTGTAAGATGTATGAGTACTCGGTAAAACACGCGCCATGGATCTATCATGCATCCTGGGTTATCCGGCCTTGCTAGCTCATTTCTCCTTTGCATAAAATGCAGTTGCGTGCCTGTGCTCCGTTTTGGGGGAAGCTAAGGGGAATAAGCCTCCCGCACCTGGAGACCCGGCTCTGGGAGGGTCCCTGCCACCTGGAAAAGTCTAAAGTGGACACCACAAGAACGATGCTGAGCATGAACGGCCACAAAATATTCACAGCAAGAACTTGGAAAGCGATTGGCTTATCGACTATCAATTATCGACTATCGACTATCGATAGATGTGTTCTGGCCGGCCTATTGGGGCTCCATGTGGAGAGAGACAATGAACTCCAAACTTACTCCTCCCAAGTCTTTCCCCCTCGGCATGGAAGGCTCACACCATCTGGCCGAGTCCGATCACCCATCCAGAGATTGGGGTGGCAATTCAATAGAGACTCCTACCGAATCGGTTTCGATGCAAATGAAATACC